CTTTTAGTTTCTCTTCAAATTTAATACTGTTTTTTTTTGTTTTAAATTGTAGCGCTCTTTAATGGCAGAGTGTCCGTAGCAATCGTAATTCTTTTCACTAATCGTAATAATCCTAATAGTCATGAGTATCCGTAATGGTAATCTTTTCATTAATCCTAATAATCATGAGTATCCGTAATGGTAATCATTTACAGATAGGTAGCGAAGCATCGCGACACAGCCGTGTTCACCGACGTCGTCGTGCCGTACCATTCAATTGTGGCCCGATCTCAAATTGCCTCAATCTTATCACTTTTTCTACATCATGCTGCCTTTTCGTAGTTCACTTTCTCCAGCTACAGAACGAATCGGATATTAGCGTATGTAAATATCATGATTTTTCTATGGTAGCACTTATTTAACACATAATTCGTCAGATTTTTCGACTCGTAGTGCTGCAACAACGCAAATTGTCAACAGATTATTTCATTGGCATCTGTTTAACACCTCAAAGAGACTGAACAAAAAACTGCGATTTTGTGCAAATATTTAATATGCGTATACCACCCAACGGGACGGTCGTTCGCTGCAAAACGCACTCATTTCTGATTTTTCGCTGAAGTTGAATATTTCTGCATATATATTTTTGTCGTGTACGGACGCGTTAAATGTTCAAATTGCAACACTTTTGTCGTGCTTCTCTTTCGGTTAATCAGACAGCCAAGAAAATAGAAATTTCGTGAGAGCAGAGTATTTTTTGCGACACTGAAGGCTTAAATGGATACCATTTTGAGCAGAAACCTCAAAAAAGGACTTTGAAGCTCCTCTTGGTGCCCCGTTTTGAGCATCGGAAAAAAGGAAGTGCGATCCCTGCAGTTAAAAGATGGCTGAGCCGTGAAACCGTGTATTAGTACTGATTTGAATGTTCTCCTCAGTAATTCTTGGCTTTTCAGTTGCTGGATTTCGAAAGATTTTTGCCCAGATTTATGTTATCCTCATGGATACCATTTTTGATGCTTCACACCTCAAAAATAACCACTCTTGGCCTCATTTCACATATCGCATCTGTTACTATTATGCGAACACGGCGTTCTTTGCCCGACATCGTTTCATTTTTTATTTGGTAATAGCTTTTATTCTCATAGATTTCGACCTAAACTCTTCCTTTTAGTAGCATAGGTACGGCAGTGGACCCCTGATACTACCGGGATTATGAGGAGATACAAGAGCTTTAGTAATCCCCTAGCATGTTGTGGAGATACTGCGTTGTTTTTTGTGTATTTGATCTTTGGCGATTCAGACAGTTGAACTTGATCAGTGGGTGATAATGTGGTAAAGTTCCAATTATGCGCTAACTGAAGAAAAGCAAAATATTCTTGACATTATATGTAGATACCATGAAATGAGGAAAATAAAAAAATAAAACTACAATATCCTGCAAGAATCGGAGGCGGACCGCCAATAGGAGGGTGAAGATTTGTAAGGAAATTTCGAAAAAACGAAATATCCTCAAAATGTCGGACCGAAAGGACTGATGCGAAACGTGGTCACTTTTGAAAGAAAAAAAAAACTGAAAACTGGCTGTGATGAAGAGAATGACTGGGTGGTGGATGCTTGGGGTACTTTTTATTAACCATTTAATCAGTTATAATCTGTATAAGATGGCTGGCTTGAAGAATGTCATTACGGTCATGCGAGGAAGTAGGATTGCTGGGCAGGACATTTTGTTATTTTGCTACGGTAAGTGGGCGTTGTTTATCATTGAGAAGCACCGGCGAGGCTGATTGAAGTATTGAGGTTAACTGAGACTAATTTCTGGACTAATTCGAGTTATTTTGTGAAAGATTTAGTGGAATGGTATAAGCGCATCCCAGTAATACCACTTATATCTGATCATCACATCGCTTGCCAAGGTGATTCGGGAGGTCTCTGAAAAAGCTTTTCAGAAGTTTTGTTTTTTG